AGGCGACCCGCGCTTCTGTCTGACCCGTTTCTGAACCGGTTTTGCTCTTTCCTCTCTTCTTCCCTTTACCGCCCCTCTTGTCCTTCCTTCCCATGGGGACCTCAGAGCATCGCTGTGAAAGTGCCCCTGGCTTTTGACCCCTGACCTCTGACCCCACCACTTTCCCTGACCCTACCACTTCACCTTGGCCCTCCAGTCGGATGCCCGGCCGGTGGCCTACTTTGCCCCCTTAATGTTCCTTTCTACTGTCTGGCTCTCTCAATCCTAAAATCTTCCTCGATGACTCCTGTCTGCTACCTCATTTGGGGCAGAATAGACAGGTAATTGGTTCTTGGGGTAAATGGATCTAGTCTGAATCCTGGTCCCTGCCAACAGCCATGTGACCTTGACCAAGATTTGACTATATTTCTTTGGGGTGTCGTGCAGAGATCATGACATCCAAACTGTAAGGCACCTAGTATTTGTACAATAAGCTCACAATAAATGGTAGCAATTTAATTATAAATAATGAAGGCTTTTCAGGGAATTTCTATGATAATGAATTTGAAAGTGGTTGGCAACTTTAAAGTGTTTCTCCTTGACTGGAAATGTCTTGCGGGCGGGAGCCTTGTCTTTTGTACACCATGTCTGGTACATGGAAGGCCCTTGATGTATACATTTATTTCTGGATGAATGAATAAACTTACACCATCCTCAATTCTTATTTTTTAGTATGACTTCTTCCTAATTATAACAATACATGTTTTATTGTAGAAAAATTGAAAAATACTTTTAAAAAATAGGAAAATATACTAGCTGCGATCCTACTCCCTAGAGAATAACCACAGTTAATGTTTTGATATATGTCCCTGTAGCCCTTTTTCTGTGCTTATATATATTTCAAAATTTTTATACTCTGGTTTTTCAGTTAACAAAATGAGCATTTCTCTGTGTTCTTAAATAACTTTCACAAGCATAATTTTAAGTGCCACATATATTATTCTGTGATATGAATGTATCATAATTTATGTAACCAATAGCCAATATTTGGATATTTAAGTTGTTTCCATTTTTCACCATTATAAATAAAGCTGCAATGAACATCCTTTTGTATAAACCTTTGTGTATATCTCTGAATTAAGATTTTCTACCAAGAATAAATTCTACAAAGTCAATGACTAAATGCAAGAGTGAACATTTTCAGGCCCCTATTATTGTTAAATGATTCTTCAGAGAAGTGGCACTAACTGATACTCTCCCCATTACCAAAGTTAAGAATTCTTGCCACCAGAATATTATCACTTAATATAAAATAATCTTGCCACATGCAGAGCATAGAACCTTCTTTTGTATGATAGTGGTTCTGCCCTGGACGTAGGCAGTGTGTGCAGTTGTACCAGGGTTTTGCCCCTTTGGCACTGTTGACATTTGGACTGGATAGTTCTGTGTCGTGGGGGGCTGCCCTGTGCACTGTAGGGTGGTTGGCAGTATCCCTGGGCTCTACCCACCAAATGCCAGTTGCATTCCTGGCCCCTCAGTTGTGTTTTTCAGTAACATCTCCCAACATTGCCAAATGTCCCCTGGGGGACAAAATCACTCCTGGTTGAGAACAACTGAGTTACAGGGCAACTGTATTAACTCTTTATTGGTTGTAAGTAACAGAAACCAACTCTAAGCAAAAATGGGAACTTTATGAGAAAATCCTGGGGTATCATGGAGCCCTAGGGCACAGATGCCACTGGGCCTTCTCCTGTCAGGTCTGACTCATTCTTCTCTCTCGCTGCGGACTGGCCTCCTCTCCACTGGCCTACGCGGAGGAGACGGCCACCACTAACGTTTCTGAAGTTTCGCATTCCTCTTGTTTGTAAGAAAGCCAGACCTTACTGGACTCTCTTGGCTCCAAATCCAAATTCTGAAGGAAGAAATCTGATTGGCCAAGCTCAGGTTGGCTTCCGCCGCTGGTCCAATCATGTGGCTGTGGGGGGAGGAGTAAGTCCCTGCAGTCTTGCTGTAACCACGTGGTCATGCAGTTTCTAGAAGTCCCCTCCATGTCCATATATCTGGGGAGGTTTATCAAGTGTGCGCATGCACACCTGTACAGACGTCCCAAGTGACACACTTTGCCTGAGGGCATATGGACTGTCTGTCTCAATTGCTGCCTGCTCCTAGCTCAAAGAGGTGATGGTGAAACTGCTGGGCCACCCAGACTTCGGTTTAGGGGACTTTCTTGGTGGAGTTGGCCAGCTTCTCTGTGACTGACTGACGTGGCTTACTCAGGCCCAGCTTCTCTGTGACTGACTGACGTGGCTTACTCAAGCAGGTCCAACCAAGCGAGCCCATTTTAGAGTCTGGCATTTGCAAGTCCATAAAGGTGTTTTATGTGGGAAATAACTGCTAGTCCTCCTTCATAAAGTCAGCTTTGGAGTGTGCAGCCATTGAGGCGGAGGGGCCCTGTGCCACCCTGCACCACCGAGTGCTAGAAATTCAGCCTCTGCCTCCAAGGAGGGAGCAGGTTGTGCTGGGGAGTGCCATGGCAGACACCCAGCCCCTGAGCACAGAGACCTGTCCGCCCATCACCTTGAGCCCCTGGGGAATGGCAGAGGGAGGGCTTTCCTCCAAATGTGGAGTGAAAATAAGCTCCATCCTGTTCTGAAAGTCTTTCTAGCTCACAGATGCCATTCCTGCCCCTTTTCCCCATGCAGCAACCTAGGAAGAGTCACTTCTCTCGGGGCGCCAGTTGCTTTATCAAAAATAGGCATGACACTTGCCCTAAGAAGCTCTTTGCTGGGAAAGTGCTTTCAAAAGTTTATGTAAAAGTAGTACAGGTCTCATTGTAATAAAGGCACGTATGATCATTATTTCACCTCCAGGGGAAATCTCTAAATCCTTTGAAGCCGCCTATTGCTCAGCAGAGCAGAGTTGGGGGCAATGCCTCCTCTAAGTCATCCCTCCCAGACCTGGAGCTGGTTTTAAATTTCTGCTGCTACATGAATATTTCAGGGATGTTTCATCAAGAAACCCAGGAGCCTGAAAATGGGTGGAGTCTCTCTTACCTGTGTGCCCATGGGCATGTTAATGAACCTTTCTGGGCTTCAGTCTCAGAACCTATAAAATGGGAACACTTGCGTCATTTACCTCTTCGGCTGCCAATACACGTAAAGCATTTGTGCTGGCAGAGAGCAAGTGTCCCCTCAGCATTTGCTCTGTGCCGGGCCCTGAGCCAAGCGCTGGGTGGAGAGAGCTGCCGAGAACGTGACCCAGCCCTTAGGATCCTTGTGGATTACTGGGGCTGAGGTAGCACCTCAGGCAGCTTATAAAGCAATGCGGCACATCCAATGACAGTGACCTATCTGCCTTGGCATTGGGACCCCCCCGCCCCGCCAGTGCTTCCCCTGGGGCTACAGGGAGATGGGGCAGGTAAGGCAGGACCTAGGTAAACACCATGGTCCCAGGCTCTCCCCAGAGCCGACAGTTCTAGGACTTAACTGCCCAGAAGCAGGAGGCATGCACTCCTCAGGCTCATAGGGAACAGTTACAGGGAGAAAATTCCTCCCCTGCTCCCTTTTTAAAAAAAGTAATTGCCCAACATTTTCAACCCTATGCAGTGGTTAGGTAGAGGACATCTTGTAGACAGGATATAATGCAGTCAGTAAAACTGATGCCATACAGATATGGAAAAGCGCTTGCTTAGTCCACGGTGGAGTCGCTGGCGCCCTGCTGTCTCGGGCCCTCAGGAGGACAG